CAGCCGCAAATTAATTAATGGGTGAAACAATGTTTGCTCTCTTGAATAATCAATATTAATAATCTGTCCTATATTTATGTGAGCAATGTAAATGTATGTAGGAGAATGTAATGATGATTTTTGATGCAGATTTCAAACAGAAGCAATGCTAATTTCAAACAGAAAAGTCGCTTATTATTTCATGTAAACATCATGATATTAATTTATAGGATCTTTCATAACACCAGTGTGTCGATGAAAAGAATTTACAATCTTGGGAAATCTTTCTCCAAGAACATATGAAATGTTAAAGATTACTGGTAGAAAATTCGGAAAGGAATCAAGAGTAGAAAAAGGATAAACGGAAGTGGACAAAGGGAGAGATTTTACTGACAAAAATAAGCATTCGACTCTCACCCGGTCACCACGACGAAGAAGTCCATGATGTTCCAGATGTTGCGCAGATATGAGCCGCGGTGGAGGACGAAGCCAAGGGCAATAATTTTGAGGCTCGCCTCGGCGCAGAAGATCCCGAGAAAGTACATTTCCGTAGCCTCGAGCCTCTGTGCGAGTACGGTCTTGTCCTGCCTCGGCAAGTGCTCCTCGAGGGCGAGGACCACGCAATTGGCGATGATGGTGAGCAGGACGCTGTACTCGAAGGGCGGCCACTCAATGAAAAAGCGTACTTGCGTCCGTATAAAATTATCTTCCGAAAGGATAAACAATGATGTGGCGCCCTTGCCGCCTCCCCCACCGCCTCCCCCTCCACCTTGATCCCGGCCTGGCGCCATGTCCACCAGACCAGGTACCTGAAAGCGCCAATGTTCTACTAAAAAAACTTCGAAAAGAGAGAGAGAAAGAAAAATTTCTAAGAGTGAATTATAATATAATAGAGTTTACAAAACTCTTGTGCGCACCGCGGTTTGAATGAGACACAACGATATATAATAAATATAAGAAATGAATGAAAGATGTCACTATTATCGAATTTGAAATTAAAAAAAGTCTGTATTACTATAGATCTTGATTAAGTTCGGCCGTCGCTCCAACATCCCCTTAACCGTTTCCTAAAATCGTCACTCCACAAAGTTTCAGAGGCGCAAGAATATTGGTCCGATAAAATTCATGTCCATAAATTGCTCACCAAGGTATAAGCAGGGAGATTATGTGCTCCTACGTGACTCAGCGATAAAGCCAGGAAAGAACAGAAAGTTAAAGCTGGCCTATAGGAGCCCTTATTTGGTCGCTAAGGTTCTTAATAAGAACAGATATATCATTCGAGATATCCCTAGGTTTAACATCACTCAGAAACCAGGCAATTCGATCTTATCGTCGGACCGAATCAAGCCCTGGGTTAAACCGATGACTTTTTGACTCTCTCTGCGACTGTATTTGTATGCTCTTGTAAGTAAGTTCATAAGTGTTTTTTTAATGTGATGTAATATAGATTTTAGTATCCGCAAGGTTTAGTCAAAAATCATCAAGAATCTCTTCTTTTTTTTGTTTACACTGTAAGAATCTAAATCAAATGTTATGAAAATTTTAATTTTATCAATAATACTATTTGACTGAATCGTCTTTGTCGTACATTTTGTACTGAATTGTATGCGATACAATCTATTACTGTTAAAGCGCATATGTGTGATCAAAACGAACTTTGTTTTAGTTTAAATTGTAATGACCATAAGTTATGTTCGGGACGAACAAGAAGCAGGATGGCAGAACGCTGTAAGATCAGTCTCTTCTCGATCAGAGCTATATTTTTTATTGTTACGTTGGCACACTGCACCTTACCCGCCATTACACGTTGCGCCATACCACGATTAGTCTTCCCGGGCATATGGGAATAACCCAATCGCGCGGTTTGCTGTCCGGTGTATCGCGTGCGTCATTGGTCGCCCGAGACGCCACCAGCGAGGCGTGCTTTCTACGCAGACATTCTGTGACAAGTAGCGAGAGAGGCTACTTGTATCCGAGGAATAAAAAAAGTGATTTATCCCAGGCATCGGCGGTTCATTTGAATTTCCCGTCCCCGCCTTACAATATAATAATATTTAAACACTGGAAAAAGTCTGATAATATTAATTAAGCCTGAATGTTAGTTATTAAAGCTTTGATAAAATAATTTTAATCAATGTTCGGTTAATATAGTCGAAAAATCAACTAAACGCTAATTTATAAATATTATCTTTTCTAATTATTACCAAACGGTTGGTTACTATTATGTTTACTAAATATTTACTAATAATTTATTAATATTTACTAAATATTGTACCACAATACGCTAAACAAAATACCATATGAAAAAAAACGGTTCTTTCGTGCCCACTCTCCCCTACTATCAGATAAAGCAATTAAGAAACATTGGAAAAAGATTGGTAATAGCTACAAAGATATTTTGTTTAGCGTATTGTGGTACAATATTTAGTAAATATTAATAAATTATTAGATGTATTGACACCGAGCGAACGAAAATGGACTGATCACGATTTATTTCAAAAAAAGTGCTGACGTACTAAAATTGCTTGAATTGTACTAAAAAAGTAGAAAGTCAATTGTACTGAAAAGAACATCTCTGGATATGCGATGAAGGAATCAGGCAAAGCAATAATAGAACTGGCTTTTTCATAGCTCTCAATACCGGCTCTTTCATAACATTATGTGTAAAAAATCTAATCACAGAATATCTGACAAACCAAAATAAATAAAGAATTTGTATAATTACATTTTTAGTTACGGTAATGTATACAGTATTCGATAAAAAAAATACTTTTTCTAAAAGCTAATCGCAAATAAATTAAAAAGACTTGGAAATTTAACTCAAGAAACGTATTTTTTGTAACGATAATTTTGCATCTCTCATTACGGCAACGCCGTTTTGATGACTGTCAAATGTTTATGGACGACGTAGTTTTAGTATACTGTTATCAAATGAAAACAATTTTAACTTTTTGGAGATATTCAATTAGTTGAAATACAAAATGACTCTTTCAAAACATGTCTCTGTCATGCCCACTCTCTCCTACCTGTCGTTTTAAATACTTTTCTAATGATTCATATTTGCATAGTATTTTCAAGATTTTGAAATATTTTTCGAGTTCTCGTCAAATCTTAAACTCGATCGAAACTGTCGAAATAAATTATTTTCTGAGAAACTTTCAAGCAACAAGCGGTGAAGAGATTGCTCGGAAGAGAAATTGCACAATTGCAGAGACACAAATGATTGATTCTCCGGTGATTCTAAAGCTATGTCACGGACTGCAGAATGTAGACGAACAATCACGGTATTTTGTATTAAGGATAACAGAGACAAAGGCAATAATTGATAATTGTCACCTTACCTCCCCTCCGAAGCTAGTCCAGTCACCGAGACCACTCCTCAATCCAGCCAACCTCGACCTTCTCCCGTAATACTGACTCGCGTATCCAGGGTCCCTTTGTGCCGCCTCTTGCGCTGCTGCCAACCTGGAAACGATAGAGGGATGAAAGAGGTCAATGGCTGGTTGCACATCGGAGCAATCTCCCGATTGGGATTATTCACATGACATACGTCAAATAATGATACCATAAACCGTATCATGATTTCTACAAACGAAACAATCACCCGCAGATCAATTCTACCTCAGCTGAACATTATTTAATGATGCTTTAGTCTGAGGCAAATGAAAACGCTATCTTCAATTTAGCAATAAACTAGCTATACTCTTAGAAAGGATTTCTAATATCAAAGAAAAAAATATTCTTGATATACTTAATCTTAACTCAACTGTATATACAATATAAAATATATTATTCTACTCCTTCGAATAAAATAAGACATCTTGTCTTAAGACGAATATAACACATATAAATTTAGGTTTATATATTCTTACATTTAGAATAAGTCTAGCCAGTATTATTATACGTGACGCTATATGGCATCATGGCAGCGAAACTCTCGTGGTGTAGCGCGCTAGGTGAGAAACACGCGAAACGAGAGAGATCCTGAGTTCGAGTTCCGACTGAGCCCAGTTTTTCGTTGCCGAAAAATGTCTAAATTTTTCTGTTAAGAAAATTAATGGAATAGCATCAGGAATACTTTATTCTAGATTTTAGAATTTTTAATTTAAGAAGAAAATATTATTTTCTGAAGAATAAATACGAATGGCTCTATATCGATTTTATTTTATTCTAGATTAAGGAGTAATAGCATTGAATATAGAAATCTTTTTTGTGGATATGATTTATAAATAGATTTTTAAATTTGAAACAGATCAAACTTATCTACATTTGTATAATTTTCGCTAATTATTATAGTTTTAAAATATTTAATAAACTGACAAACTCATTAAAGTATAACAATTACAAGATGTTTAATTTGGTATGAGAGTTAGCAGGATAAGTAAAAGATTGTCAGCAAATGGTACATGACATAATAATGCTTTAATAATTAAATCAATACTTTGACTGAAAAATTCTTAAAAGAAATAAAGACAACGCTTTATCATTTCTTTAGTATAAATTATAATATATATTAAAAATCGCTTTCGCCTATTTATAGCTAAATTTCATCTAATCGTTAATTTGTATTAAATAAATCTCAAAATTAGATGGTCAAATTTAGCATTAATATGCAATATGAAAACGTAACTATAAATTTAACATATATATCTTTATATTATTCATAAACGTTAAAAATAACTAAAATATTTTCTTAACTTAATGAAACTTTAATGTATTTTAACAAAACATTTAAAGTTTTCTTTTTAAGATGTACAGCGTATTCACGAAAAATCACTAAAAATGCACAAAGTGTGCAGAATTACTTAGACGAGTGCACCAGATAGCGGGCGATGGCTCAGTGGGATTTCATGAAACAGCTCGTTAATGATGGCGGACGAAGGTGCATAATGTGGCGGCTCCAGCTTCAATTAAGTACATTAGCCGAGACTTTTGCGACAGACGCCCCGTATGCATCCCGATAGCTCTTCTCGTGCGACAAAGGGAGAAAGAGAGAAATAGAGGATGGGTAAGTGAGTGACAATCAAGGCACACGGTAATGCAATAATTCGTGGCAAGAATTTCCCATCGTTTCATCCTCGCTCTCGTATAATGCATCAAATGCGTCAAATACGTCAATACAATAACGTCGAATTTACCGCGTTTATAAAATCACATTCAATCTGGACAGAGTGAGCATATTGACCTATATTATTTGTTTATGATAACATTTCTTATAGAAACGATACATGTGACCTTAATTGTGACATGAGTACTTCACTTTAAAATAAATCTAATTAACATTTAAACTAGGTTTCGATTAACATTTTATTTACAGTAAGATATCTTTTAATAAAACATTTTTAGTCATAATTAGAACTTAGTTGATGCATATTTTTTAGTTTTGTCATGAGAAATTGTTTCTTTTTCAGTTTGTTAATTAATCCTTTAGTAGAAAAATGATATACGTTTTTATAATAAAAAAAGATATACGTTTTTATTTTTCATTTCTTTAAAATAACGTCCCGTTAGAAAAACTACAGAGCTTTAAAATTTTTCAAATATATTTGTGCGGTAATATTTTACATAGGATTTAAAAACGTAAAAAAAAATTTAAAATGTAAATATTAATAGAACTTTAGTTATTAATTATTATATAGTGACTGATTCAGTTAACTTCACAGATTCACTCTTATTCTAAAAAAAATCTTGTTGCTGAATTTGCACAATGTGAGGAGTCTATTCTCGATCGATTGCTGAATTTGAGATGTTCCACGAAGACCTTTGAAGAATGCTCGAGATCGTTTCGAAAATGTCGATATTTGTTCCATTCTTTTTCTGACAAATACAGTCGTAAAATATCGAGTTAAAATAAATTTTTCGTAAAAAATTTATTTATAATAGTATTACACATCAAAATAATTTGAACAAAAATCTAATACTTCAATATTATAATAAATATTATAATAGCTCATGTAAGTTTTTCTTTCTTCCATTAAATTTTTTTCATTTTAATTCTAAATAGATATCAGAATTTTAATTATAAGCTATTAAAATAAAAATTTAATTAGGAAAATACATATTTACTTCAAGAGAGTATGGGTAAAAAGCTTTCTTTGTGTAATTCAGAAACAGTCTATGCATAAAATATAATAGATAAAGTTTTGCGATTTGTAACCACGACACTCCATTTAGCCGAATGGGAAACGACTCGAAGGAAAAAGTTTCTTCCGCGCCAAGATCGTCCGATTTCGTGTATCAGGGGAATCGAATTATACGAACAGCAAGCGCGGAGAGTAGTGTCTGTCAATTTTATCAACTACTTCCACTAGTTCTTTTTGTGGCTTTACGATTCTTCTTTTCTTCGACCGGCGGCCGACAAAGTGGCGCCAGCGGAATAAGTATTTACAAAAAATCATTTTAATGTTAGCCGCAGGGGGTTTGTAAAAAATAAGAGGGTTCGTTTCAGAGATAGTTTTGAATGAAATATCCAAGAAGTCAAAACATACATATCGTTATATCAAGTTCTCGTGATTTATCACTTGTTGCTTAACATCTGATCAACTTTGTATTCCCAATCAAAAATATTGATTGAATTGAATTAATGTCCCTAATAGCACAGATCTCCAAGGGACGTTCCAAAGAATCTTCAGAGAATATCCCTATGTCCTAAAAACGTTCTTTAGAACGTCCCTCGAATAAAGTGTGCTATTAGGGACATTGAAATGATTGGAAAAGTACTATTTCCAAAAACGATAGATTTCAGTGCCAACTGTGTTAATTAAAAAAATAATTGATTTTAAAAAAGTCTTGGAAAATTATTAATTTATTAGATATAATTTATAAAAATTACATGTACCTCTTTTTTTTACATTTAGGACCATTCAGGACTAAATTGGATACGATGAGCATAAAATATTTAAAAAATAGACATAACATGCCGCAATTGTTGCTTGTGTGCTTGCCTGTGCTTCAGCCTAACATCGTTGAATTATTGAAAACGGGACAGAAATATTAAATTGATCCAGTTTGTTCTGTAATGGCAGGATCAATACTACTCTCGAAAATGAATCACCGACTTGTCCGTGTGTCCGTTTTACAAGGACGCACTCCGTGAAGTAGAACAATATACGTAATGGAAGAATTCAATTGTGATCATACAGATTGTTACATCAGCAACAGGTATAATTCTTGGACGATTAGTCGGGTTTAAGTTGATCATTAATAAACCAGCCAAATACATTATTCCCTATTTCGTTCAAAAGATTATGATAGACCGATGTTATTATCCTCCACAACTATTTTGCCCAATCTCTAATTATAGAATTTATATAATATGTTTTACTTATAATCTTCTTTTTCTCAACAGCTTCTGTAGCGAATCTTTAACATCAAAATAAAGTTTAAATCTATTTCTTTTCTACATAATTTCATATATTAATTCGTAAAATATATTTTTTATGGACACATGATATAATTGATATTCAAGTCTGCCGCCGAAATTTGATATTACCATAGCATTGCAAATATTAGATTTCGATACAATATCCTCGGACGATGTTCACGACCGTCACGATCGTAAAACAGACACAGGAGTGGTCCTGCACTTGCAAGATGCGGATTGCCGCATGCGGCCGAGGACTCTCGCGAAGGTTAATCGCGATTTATGCAACAACGTTGTTGCAGCGCGTCACTGCTGGAGTGCAGTTTTTTGCTGGTTAGCAAATAACGGTGGAACGCGAGTCGTGCCAAATGTTCGTGTTACCGGACGCCCCTGTTTTTCGTCGATAGTAATTAATACGTGCCGAGCGGAAGCTCGATGGAATTTTTTCCCCCGTTCATCTGTCCATTACTTCATAAATATTCAGTCGTGAATATTTTGGGAGAGAAGCCACAACGTGTAGAGACTGCAGATATAAAAGTCACTTATACAAAAATGTTACCGAGTTCAACTAATAATAAGTTACGAAGTACCACGAGTTTAGAAAGTCTCGTGATCTTTATGGAATTAAAATTATTATTTTAATTAATAATAATTAATAACGCGTTTATTATAAGAATTTTGAAAAATTTTTCCACTTCTCAAAATAGAAAAACAAATGAAAATCATGCGTTTCGCTTGTTTTCTCCATGTTCAGATCCATTCTTAGAATGCCATTCCAAGAATGAATCTGGACACGGAAAAAACCCACGAAACGCATGATTTTCATAGGAAACACCCGTGGAAGCCTCAAGAATATCAGAAAAACATAAAATACATTACTGCAATTTTTAAAAATAGCTTGATGAAAATAGCGTGGTGTCATTTAACGTAAAAACAAATATTAAACATACTCCGAAGAAACTGTTTCAGACTATTTCAAAATAACATCCAGAATAGGAGAAATGATGGAAGGCTTAACTTCCAACTTATTTTTACCCGTGACCCGTGAAAGAAAAAAAAAACAAGATTTGTAGCCACATAAAAGAGGTTTATTTGGAGAAAT